TTTGAGGGCCAGTCTAACTCAAAAAGGCGTTCTGGAGTCCTTTGAAAGAGCATGAGTTTTTCGCGGAGTTAATACCATTCTTTAAGGTGGCGATACAGTTTCTCTGAGAAATAACTGGATTTTTTTCATTTGAAAAAACTAGTTTAATAGCAGTTAAAATGAATATCAACAGGGTTATTTTGACCTTTTTGTTTGGTTGTTTTCAGTTCAATATTTATGTTGTTTTAACTATTAGTAAATGGTAGTTTTGACCAGTTTTTTTTAAGTAAGAATGACCAATATTTTTGGTTAAATTAACGCACTTTATTTAGTTGTGAGACCATTTCAAATTAGTTAATTCAACGATTTAAAAAACTACCCGGGATGCATCTGAGAGAACCCATTTTTTAAGTTACTTTTCGTTAATATAACTAAAAAAGAATAGGTTACAAGAAATCGTTAATTTAATCTTGAATAGTCAGTATACCGATGTTTCTCAATCTCCTTAAAATTGAGTTTATCCTTGTCTGATCGCCACAAGATTTTCATCAGTGATTCACTATAAATTAAAATTTGTCAAAATGTAGTTTTTAGTAAAATGGATATCACTATGAAATCGATTTAATCCGAATTTCGCGTGATCTAGACATGCTACTGAAAATCCGACACAAGGAACTTAAAGTGTGGTGTTCAGCAAATAACCTCCGTGAGAAGTAAAAAATTCTGTATGTTTGAATTCAAATAAAACGTCGAATATTTCTTGTCTTCCTAAACTGTCGGGAAACGTTTAGTTCCCAGAGAAGAGAAATGTTTTTGTTCTTGACCACCAACATGGCTGCCGTGACGTCACGTGGAACCAGCAAGGTGGCCAATGTAGTCCGACGTATGGGAGCCAATCAAAACGCCGAAATTCGCCTATCCATTTTCATCTTAACTAAATAACAAATTTAATAAATCTTATCTCTAATGAGTCAAAATCTGGGCAAACATTCTGCATGATTGCAACCTCGTAGAAATTGTTTTCCTTCTGAACATAAAACCCAAAGTTGGCTCTTTCTTTGTGGCTATTTGGCCCTACTTCTCTGAGGGAATAATACTTGTTTTGTAACCTAGTAGAATAAACACATCCCCCAACTGGGCGCTCTATAGTCTTCTTGTTACAGAGAACACACCCGAGGATAAGCGACAAAGAAAAATCAAACAGTATAAGTAAATTCGTATGAGCTAATCAAAATTGATACAAAAACTGCCTTTTAGAATATCTATAAGTATTGTGTTTATTGATGAAAGTTAGCTCTGCCCAAACGAAATATTGGGCGAATTAATTACCCATTAATCATAGCTGTCCGATTAGTCTTGTCTTTAATTCAAATATTTAAGTAAATGGCATATCAGAATCAGCGTAAAGCAGAGGATTGAACCTTCCCCCCCACCTCCCTCAAACTGGTAATTGGTGACTTCATTGGTTTTGATGCCGTCATGAATGCCGATTTTTTCCTTGGGGGTGAAGTGACCTCCATTTGAAGGGGGTGCAAATATACAGTAGCTTCTAGCTACACGAGGACGTGATATATTAGGTGCTGTTTCCCTACTTTCTTCTTTATTCGAAGCTTTAATTTTCTTCAGCCTTAAGCGACACCTGCAGTTCATGATACCAGCGTTCTGTCCGACCATGGTTGAAACTAAAATCTGCAATTTTCACTCCCCTAAACGAGACGACGATAAGGAGTCTTCCCCGCGGGATTTTTTCTTTGTTCCATCACGAATACCTGCAACTTCCGCTTATAAGCCCTAGGTTAACACAACCTTCGTAAGGTGTTTTAGAGAGGTTAATAAACGCCGGGTCTTATAAACGGACTAAAAAAAGTGTTTTAAAGCAAGCTACGAAGAAGTGCTGATCAAACTTCATCTTGAATTTACTCGCTTTTATAAACTTCAAAACGCTGTAAAAAATTGAATTCATTTCAATACAAGATAGAGGGGGGAGGCTTATTTTTTTGTTTACAGGTAGATGGGCCTATAACTGTCGGGGGTGGGGGGTGGGTTGGGGGCTTCTAAGCGGAAGTTTACCGTATAGCACCTTTCTCACAACTGGCACTTCATCTGATGTCACCTAAGTTCGCTTCTCTTTCAGATATGAGTTCTTCACGGTCGTTAAATGATGATGATTCTTCATCTCCTTCTAATTCTCTCGTCGAAAAACAACTCGACTTCACAGCCAAGATAAGACTCATACCAGAAGGAGGGTGGGGCTGGATGATATGCGCTGCTGCGTTCGGAACACAGCTGATTGTTATGGGGATTCATAACTCGTTTGGGATTCTTTATACCACATTGTTAGAAGAATACAAGAAAACTAAAGCTGAAACAGGTACCCAAAGTAGACTGTTCACAGTCCCCTATTCTTTCGTAAGATCGTCAAGATCGAGCGCTTTACGTTATGGGCGGTCATCTTAGTTTACATTCAAATGTTCGGAGTATAGCCTGGAGATGAGTGTCAAATCCACTTAGAGGGCGAGGGATGGTTTAGTGCATATAAATGAAACAAGATGGCCGCCCGTACTGGTAAGCGCTTAACCCTTACCTATTTCTCTTCAATTCTCTGTTCCTCATCCCATTCTAATCCGTTCTATTCTCTTTCATCGCGTTTATTCCCGTGCCACACCGTTCTATTCATCTCATTCATTTCCATTCCCCCTTATCGCATCATCTTTTTTATTTGAACCATATTTAGTAGAGGAGACTGGTTAGGAAAGCCGGCAAACATCAGAGTTGAAAGCTATGGTGCTGTAGTTTATATTGGAAGCTTGTTTTTTGTTCACAAATTATGACTGAATAAATTAATGCAATGTTTCTATTGGTCAATAACTTCAAAATGATAGGAATGCTACCGTAAAATTCTGAAAATAAGCCCCGCGGCTTATATTTTTCAAAGGCCCTTTTTGAGGGGCTTATTTTTGGAGGGGCTTATATTCGGAGGGGCTTATCTACGAAGGGAAATTTTCGGAAGTAAATTTACCGTTTTTGCTTTGTTACACAAAGGGGGGCTTATATTTGGAGGGGCGATTTAACGGAGGGTTTTTTGCGTTACCGGTTTGGGGATCTTATATTTGGAGGGGCTTATGCATGGAGGGGCTTATTTTCGGAATTTTACGGTATTCAACGTTGTGCACGGTCAGGTCCAAAAAAGCTAACAAAAACCTATAACAAAGGGTTTACCAACCATTCCACTTTAATTAACTATGTTTGAACTGATGAAATGTATAAAAAAGTCATTTTTCTCATTCCATTTCAAAGGTTTAATAGACTACATAATTTAAAAAATGATTATGTACAAAGCCCAAAGGCTGCTGTTATGTATTTAAATTTGAACGCAATTCCCCAATCTTATTGCAAATTCTTTTTCAGCCGCTTTGGGTATAACCTGTTCACAGGCTCTTATTTTTCAGTTAGATTGTTAAGATCAAAAATATATTGTAGTGAGGTGACAGGAACGGAGCAAGACAAACGCAACGTTAGCTCAACAGTACTACACAATTAATCGATCACCAAAAAAAAAAAAAAACGATTGTCACTGTCACTGACAAGCCGGAGATTTCACGAGAAAAACCGTTTCTCATCTTATACTCTACATATTTTTGTTTTTTGTTTTAATTTTCTACCACAGCATGGGTAGGCTCTGTCAGTGTCGGCGTCATGTACCTTTTTGGACCTATCACAAGCGGTCTGAGTGAGAGATTCGGCTGCAAAGTCGTGGCATTCCTTGGTGGTTTTCTATGCATCCTGGGATTGCTCCTGACGTCATATGCTACAGATCTTCCGAAGCTCTATGTAACATATGGCATCCTCTGGGGTATAGGGTCCAGCTTTTGCTACTTTCCTACGCTAACTGCTCCGGGAGAGTATTTCTGCCATCGACTTTCCTTAGTAAATGGAATTGTCACTGCTGGTTAGTTGTTTAACTGAGTAAAAACCTGGTAATCCATTCGGTTCAATTTTCATGTGCGTATCTTATACGAAAATATGTTTCTTTCACAGTTTCTAATCTAGTTGAGTTAGTTATAAATAAAACAGTGTAAACTGAAGAGTTTTATAGAAATTCAAAGCCAACCTGTGGCTGAGCTTCAAAGCTTGTGACTCTCTCCTTCCAATACTGACATACGACTCTCAGAGAACAGACTCAGAGAACAGCGAAGAACTAACCTTGAATTTTCTAAATACGTAGAATGACTGAGCTACTCCTTTACAATATACAAGTATAAATCTATAATAGAATACATGGTCTTTAAGAACGAAAATTTAGAAAAAATTTATTGAAAGAAGAGTTCATACATTACATAGACTGTTTTTTAACCTAGAAGGCTCCTACCAAGGAGCCATGTATGTACGAGAGAACTAGCTCCAATAAATTCTAGGCTTTTAAACTTTTGTTTCTTTTCACAGGCAGTGGAATAGGCACGCTAGCATTCGGTCCAGTCCTCCAACACATTCTCCAGCGCTATGGTCTTGTTACGTCACTGCGCATTCTCAGTGGAGTGTCTGTCCTGCTGCCTCTGACGTCACTTACTTACAAGACATTTCGTTCACCACTGGAAGACCTTTTTGAAATAAAGAAACAGCCACGACCTTTCCTTGACCTAAGCGTGTGGCAAAACAAAGCCTTTTGTGTTTACACAGGGGCGGTGGCCCTTTTCATGCTGGGATATTTCATTCCTTATGTGCATTTGGTAGGTAAACTTCCGCACATTCCTATGTCCTTTTCGTGTCCACATCCTCACCTTTTCCAAGAAATTTTGATAATTAAATGCCGTATATGCGCTGCTGCGTTCGGAACACAGCTGATTGTTATGGGGATTCATAACTCGTTTGGGATTCTTTATACCACATTGTTAGAAGAATACAAGAAAACTAAAGCTGAAACAGGTACCCAAAGTAGACTGTTTACAGTCCCCTATTCTTCCGTAAGATCGTCAAGATCGAGCTCTTTACGTTATGGGCGGCCATCTTAGTTTACTTCCAAATGTTCGGAGTATAGCCTGGAGATGAGTTTCAAATCCACTTAGGGGGCGAGGGATTGTTTGGTGCATGTAAATGAAACAAGATGGCCGCTCATACTGGTAAGCACTTAACCCTTACCCATTTCTCTTCAATTCTCTTTTCCTCATCCCATTCTAATCCGTTCTATTCTCTTTCATCGCGTTTATTCCCGTGCCACACCGTACCGTTCTATCCATCTCATTCATTTCCATTCCCTCTTATCGCATCGTCTTTGTTATTTGAACCATAGTTAGTAGAGGAGACTGGTTGGGAAACCCGGCAAACATCAAAGTTAAAAACAATGGTGCTGTAGGTTATGTTGGAAGCTCTCTGACCGTGCACAATCCTTTGTTTTCTGTTCACAAATTATGACTCTGTAAACTAATGCAATGTTTCTATTGGTCAATAACTTCAAAATGATAGGAATGCTATTGAACGTTGTGCACGGTCAGGTCCAAAAAGGCTAACAAAAACCAATGACAAACGGTTTCCCAACCATTCCACTTTAATTCAAGGACTATGTTTGAACTGATGAAATGTATAAAAATGTCATTTTTTCTCATTCCATTTCAAAGGTTTAATAGACCACATAATTTAAAAAATGATTATGTATAGCAGCCCAAAGGCTGCTATTATGTATTTAAATTTGAACACAATTCCCCAATCTTATTGCAAATACTTTTTCAGCCGCGTTGGGTATAACCTGTTCACAGGCTCTTATTTTTCCGTCAGATTGTCAAGATCAAAAATATATTGTAGTGGGATGACAGGAACTGATCGAGACAAATGCAACGTTACCTCAACAGTACTACACAATTAACCGATCACAAAAAAAAAAAAAACGATTGTAAACTGTCACTGACAAGCCGAAGATTTCACGAGAAAAACTATTGCTCATCTTATACTTTGCATATTTTTGTTTTGTTTTTTTATTTTCCACTACAGCATGGGTAGGCTCTGTCAGTGTCGGCGTCATGTATCTTTTTGGACCTATCACAACCGGTCTGAGTGAGAGATTTGGCTGCAAAGTCGTGGCATTCCTTGGGGGTTTTTTGTGCATCCTGGGATTGCTCCTGACGTCATATGCTACAGATCTTCCGAAGCTCTATGTAACGTATGGCATCCTGTGGGGTATAGGGTCCAGCTTTTGCTATTTTCCTACGCTAACTGCACCGGGAGAGTATTTCTGCCATCGACTTTCCTTAGTAAATGGAATTGTCACTGCTGGTTAGTTGTTTAACTGAGTAAAAACCTGGTAATCCATTGTTCAATTTTCATGTGTGTATCTTATACGAAAATATGTTTCTTTCACAGTTTCCAATCTAGTTGAGTTAGTTGTAAATAAAACAGTAGAATTTGAAGAGTTTTATAGAAATTCAAAGCCAACCTGTAGCTAAGCTTCAAATCGTATGAATCTCTCCTTCCAATACCGACATACGACTCTAAGAGAACAGCGAAGAACTAACCTTGAATTTTCTAAATACGTAGAATGACTGAGCTAGTCCTCTGCAGTATACAAGTATAAATCTATAACAGAATACATGGTCTTTAAGAACGAAAATTTAGAAAAAAATTATGCAAAGAAGAGTTCACATATTATATAGACTGTTTTTTAACCTAGAAGGCTCCTACCAAGGAGCCATGTATGTACGAGAGAACTAGCTCCAATAAATTCTAGGCTTTTAAACTTCTGTTTCTTTTTACAGGCAGTGGAATAGGCACGCTAGCATTCGGTCCAGTCCTCCAACACATTCTCCAGCGCTATGGTCTTGTTACGTCACTGCGCATTCTCAGTGGAGTGTCCGTTCTGCTGCCTCTGACGTCACTTACCTACAAGACATTTCGTTCGCCACTGGAAGACCTTTTTGAAATAAAGAAACAGCCAGGACCTTTCTTTGACCTAAGCGTGTGGCAAAACAAAGCCTTTTGTGTTTACACAGGCGCGGTGGCCCTTTTCATGCTGGGATATTTCATTCCTTATGTGCATTTGGTAGGTAAACTTCCGCACATTCCTATGTCCTTTTCGTGTCCACATCCTCACCTTTTCCAAGAAATTTTGATAATTAAATGCCGNGTGGCAAAACAAAGCCTTTTGTGTTTACACAGGGGCGGTGGCCCTTTTCATGCTGGGATATTTCATTCCTTATGTGCATTTGGTAGGTAAACTTCCGCACATTCCTATGTCCTTTTCGTGTCCACATCCTCACCTTTTCCAAGAAATTTTGATAATTAAATGCCGCCGCGCGAGCGAGCCTAAGTCGAGCGAGCAATGCACCAGACCTAATTCGTACAGGGACAAAAATTTTGAATTTCTGCCCATGATGTATCTGAATTTTTAACCACAATGCACTTTTTTACCACAATGCCTTGTACACAAACCTTTGACGTCGCCATATCATCGCTACACGCTACAGGCTATTCATAAAGTATTCTGATTGCGCACGCTAGCTGAACGCGAGATAAATGCAAACCTAATTTGGCGATACAAATTTACACCAGGGCAGCACTCTTTTACCTATTAGGTACACTTGTTATAATTAAAAATACTTTATTATCCTCCCCCGCTTCTGGGGCTTTTCAGGGAAAATGAAACAAACAAATTCAAATGAACATAGTAAGGTTAAGAATCCAACTGGTAGGGGGGCATCCAGTTGGCTATTTACAAGCGTGGCCGAGGATTTCAACTCGGGACAACCGAGAACAAATCCAGCAAGTGGCCAGAGCGGTACTCGAACTCGGGACCGCGGGATTGCGAGTCCGACGCCCTGATCACATAGACACGCTGCGTCCTTCCTTTGCCAAAGCGAAAACTGATGTTATCAAACAAACATAGAATACATCGCCCCTTGCCATTAAAAAAGCGCATTTCATCCCCCTGATTTGGCAAATGCCGTAAATGATGGACATTTTAGGTCAGCATTTGCTTGAAGACAACTTTTGTTGTGGGGCACACCACTGCAACACAACACTGTAAGCCTATATTTACTTAAGCAGATTGATAGCCTGCAGTGCAAGCGTTTTCTTCGGGCAAGAAATGTTTTGCGCGCGAAAGCGCCCTGTTGAAACTCCAAAAGAGAGTAGGAAATGGGGCTTGTCAAAAGGGTTACCATTTTTACTCTTCCAAATCTTCTTCTCTTTCAAATCTCCTTCCCTTGAGTGAGTTTTGAAGTGCCACTCTTGATCACTGTTCAAATGATTTTTTTGCCAAACAGGTCAGTCACGTAGAAGGGCTTGGAATTTCACCCTCTAAAGCGGCCTTGTTAATTGGTTTCATGTCCATTGCCTCAACAATCAGTCGGGTCATCTTCGGTAAATTTTCAGACCATCCGAAAGTGAATCGATTGTTCATGACGCAGCTGGCGATCACGGGCTTTGGGGTAACAACAACACTTTGTCCAGTTGCGAAAGATTATGCTTCCTTGGTGACGATAGTAGTATTTCTGGGTCTGTTTGATGGCTTGTACGTAGTGCTCATTGCCGTTGTCAATACAGATATCGTGGGAGTCCATAAGCTATCGGCGGCATTGGGAAGTGTTTACGGAGTCATATCGATAACTCTCACAGTTGGACCTCCTTTTGCCGGTAAGATTTCAGCAATACCTGTATGCTTTATTACAGTAACTCAATTAATAAAAAGGTTTTTTGTGCCCTTCATGTACAGACATGGTATCGTTCACGACTGTTTGAGAGTTTCGCGAGAGCTTGAAAGGACGTGTTTTTTCTCGTTCTCCAAAGATTCCACTAGCATACTACTAACTTAACAAATGGTAAAGGATCACTGTGCATGATTGACTCACGACTGATGCACAAGCTTTGTTAATGCGTTGATCTACACTCTCCTCCATCAGTACCTTTATCTAGTAAATGATTGATCCATTTGCTGAAGACAGTAATAGACGCTCTCCTGTCATTCTTATTCCAGGCCTGATGTTTGACACGCTTCATTCTTACCACACTGTATTCTACATTTGTGGAGCAACATCCACCTTGTCAGCCTGTCTTATGTTCCTCATTCCATGGCTTATGCCCAACCAACAGGGGGGTGCTTTCCGTCGAGATTCCGCGCTGAGCCGCCTGGAAAGTCTCCTGAGTTCGCTGCCACCAACTCCAAGAAGAATTTCAAGAAGAAATTTCGCTCACGGTAGCCAAGGTAGTGGAACAGGCGATAGTGACGACGGCAGGGGTGGAGACAGTCTTTGTGAAGCAGACAGGATTGAAATGGAGTTTCTGCAAGGATCTGGGTCCAACGACGTGGAAGACGATGACCAAGACGGCGGCACAAGGCGACCGGATGCTGGCCTCCGCCAGGATACCTCCATAAACACTGTCTTTAATTCAACCATGTCTCATCGTGGATCCATCACAAAGTTTCTACTGCAACAACAGCTTCAATCATGGAGCAGGTCTCCTTCACCACTATCAGATTCCTGTCGAGGATCAGGTCAAGGAAACCAGTCATCGCGTGGCGACTCGTCAAGAAGCTCGCTGAGCAGTTACTTTGGGGGCTCAAGGAGAGCGTCATGTTCAACCTCCTCAAAATCGAAGAGCTCCAGCAAGCCTACGCCAACGGGTTCAATTCGCGATTCTGATAAACTTGGAGAATCAACCAGCGAAGAGACATCAGAGTTGAACTCCGACGAACTGGAACCAGAAATAGACGAGACGACAGTGGATTTCTTGCATGTTGATGCTTTATCTCGTCGAATCTCCGAGGTGAGCACGGTCGTGGCTTCATGCAGGGAGTCTGGGCAGAGCACCGTAGTTTGTTCAAATCGCAGCAGTGTCGTCAAGGTAGCCCTAAGTCCTAAGGTCAGCCTGCAGGAGGAAGACTCTCAGCAGCAGCGTTCCGTGAAAGACCCCGACATGCTTCATGTGCTTGCCGCTCGTCTTTTGCAGGCTACGCGTAAAAAAGAGAATAATTTTGACGGTAAAGAACTCAAAGAGTCAGTAGTGTAACAAGCTTATCTAACAAACGTAACAATTTCAAGAAAGTACAGTGAGGAGGGCGCCAGAATTGGCGTTTTGACTTCCCCCCTAAATGATTGGAATTTTAGCTTTTTACGGCCAACATTTCATCTCTTCAGCAACGGCAGAGAGAAACCGTGAAAAATCAATTTTATTGTAGTTCTTGCTTTTTTTCAGTTAACGTCCATTGTTGTTAACCGTTTAAGGTCTTAGGTCTAAGAACTTTTAGGGATAAGGCTTTTATTTGGTGGGTGAAATAATAATATAAAATAGTGAAAAGAAGGATGGAAATTACTATAGCCTGTGCCAGGCTCTCAGATGTTAGGGATATAGCGTTAACAATGTACTGTGGAACTTTGATTTAACGAATCTCTATATAACGACGTCCTCGATATAACGAAACCTCGTCCAGAGCGAACAAATCTGGAGCGTTAAATCAAGGTTCCACTGTAAAAAGAAAAAAGGACGCAGGTAACCTAGGGAAGGCGCCGCTCTTCTCCCCAGACCCCGAGCCTTATACGGATCAGTTTTTTACGATCGCTGCCCATCACGACCTTGGAGCCTGGAACACGCTAGGCGGAGTCAGAAGCGCAAAAGCTGGAAAAAAAAAATCGAAGATTTAACAACCATAGTATAAAAGCATTCATTTATGAGGCTATTTAAGAGTAAACAGTGTTTAAATTGCTTTTCCCGATTGCTTTGAAATCCTCGCAGCTTAACTGTAGAGAGATAAAAAATATGAGAATTATCGGATAAGCAATTAAAAGGTCTCAGCAGAGATAACAATTGCAGTTNAAGAGTAAACAGTGTTTAAATTGCTTTTCCCGATTGCTTTGAAATCCTCGCAGCTTAACTGTAGAGAGATAAAAAATATGAGAATTATCGGATAAGCAATTAAAAGGTCTCAGCAGAGATAACAATTGCAGTTTTTCATTTTTCACAGCGAGGGACAAATTGTCTGTTATCATGAACTGAGGTCGTACAAGTCATTACATAAGAGGGCTGCGTAATGAATCGCACCACAGCAGAAGTTTTCTGTAAAATGACATAAAAATAAATGTTGGAAATCATTTTACAACAGTCACAACACCACACACACTGTAAAATGTTAAAGAAAATATTTTGCGGGGTAGTCAAAATAAAACAAAAATTAAGATTGATGGCAAGCCAGAAGGCCTTATATTTTAACAATTTTCGAACCATGTTGATCGTCAAGTGATTGTGACTGTGTGGAGTGAAGACGCGAATATATGATAAAAAGCCGAGAAGAAAAAATAAAACAACAAAGCTGAATCTCAAAACATTGAAAAGCAAACTTTTATCTCAAAAAAGATTCACGTTGACTCTCAATAGGGGTCAGCGTGGAGTTATTTAGAATGCATAATTTACTTGATATTGTAGTTTCAACTTCTTCCAATCTCGCAATGGGGAAAAATCAGACGGTAAATTGACAATTCTCGTCTTTGTTTTTGCCGCATAAACTGTCGCTTAAGGTTATATTTAAGGTGAAAAATAAAATCTTTAACTGTTGCAAAGTCGATTGATGTATCGTTTCAACCCGTTCAGTCCTTTGTGTGCTTGCAAAAAATATGGTCGGAAATCTGATAGAAACATCTGGTCATTTCAAATAAATGCTTTATCTTCTCTTAATTATTTATCGAATTCGACAAATCGAAAGTCAAATTGAGTTCAAAAAAAGAGAGCCGTAACTTTGAAAACTCTGCTGATATCCATAATTGCCAGAAATAAGATTAGATCAGTGGGAACAAAAGCTGTCCTGATCAGCCATATACAGGCCTGTATCGATCGTTAAAGCCCTAACTGTCAAGCTTTTGGCTGGTAATTGTGCCTGTCTTAGTTCACAGAGAATGCCAATGAACTCCGCTTATAATAGTGCTGAAAAATCTAGATCTGAAAACGGACAAAATTGTGTGCATAAACGGAGAATTCAAATTAATGTTCGTGGAGAGAAGTTTGAAACTTACGAAGACACATTATCTCGTTTTCCAAGGACTTTGCTGGGATCTCAATCAAAACGACGGCGTTTCTACAATCCTTCTCGGCGAGAGTATTATTTTGATAGGGACAAAGCACTTTTCAACTCGATATTGTTCTATTATCAGTCGAACGGTATCCTGTCCAAACCAGACACAGTTTCATACGAGATGTTCTCGTCTGAACTGAAGTTTTTCCAGCTTGATGGCGATTACGAGGAGTCTGACCAAGAATTTGATCACGCACTCTCCGCCGCATCGAGGCGAAACGCAAACGACAGCTTAACCTTCTTGCGAAAACTTACGAGAACTCGAAGAAATATTTGGAGGTTTTTCGAACAACCAGTAACTCCATCCGAAAGAACCATTGCCAAATTCTCTCTAATACTGACTGTGTTATCTATGGTTTGCCTGTGTTTGGAAACTTTACCTGTCGTTCAACAAAACCAGCTTGAAATTCAACAAAGAAACTCAACTACAGAGGAAATAAACGTGGATTACGATATTGTTTGGTCAGCTGTGGAAGTTGTCTTTACAATATGGTTTACTGTGGAGTTCGTCCTACGATTTTTATGCGCGCCGCAGATAACGAAATTTATATCTTCGTTCAGTACTTTTGTTGACCTAATAGCTTTATCGCCCCTGTACATTAAAATCATTGTTGAAAGTTTAACACAGAAAAAGGCTGAAAGCTTAGTGCCTTACCCACTGTTAAAAGTTGTGCGCCTGGTGCGACTTCTTAAACTAAAGCGTTACAGTGTGAGCATACGACTTTTGTTCGAAACTATCATTGATAGTGGCGAACACATGAGACTCTTCGCTCTTTGTATAGTGTTTAACACCGTCTTACTCTCCAGTTTTGTGTATTTTGCTGAAGGAGAAGGCGATAGCTCGCAGCAGTTTACCAGTATTCCGGCAACATTTTGGTTTACCGTCATTACTCTATCAAGTGTTGGTTATGGTGATTATGTTCCCACTTCTGCGATAGGAAAACTTGTGGGTACATTTTGTTGTATAGGAGGTACCGTGGCTATGTTTTGTTTCACGCCTGTGCTATTTACGGAATTTCGTAAATCCTGGCAGCGTTATTACAGCGAGATGTTAAAAATTAAGGCTGAGAGAGGCGAGGATTCCCGTGAAGATGCTCAAGTGCATTATAGAAGTCAAACTGTTCGTCTGCGATGTCAGGACGAGCTGTCGCAAGCATTACTTGAAAGTAAGAATGCTCATAGTTGATAGAGAGAACGCAATTTTGGTTGTTTACCAAGTTACAAAAAATGTTGAAGATGTCCACAGAATCAAAAGCTAGAACTTCATCATTGACTCTTTTAAACCGAGATTTAAAAATATACGTTTTTTTGCAAGACTAATCATGTACCCCCAACATGTACGTTCAAAACAAGACTCATGGAAAAGATAATAAATCATAACAGTATATAATTTATAGAGGCATCCCTTAAAATTCAGTTTTGATATCTTTGATTACTGTGTTAATTGCTTTTCTTATCGAAGGGACATGAGTATCTTTTAAATGACAATTATAGCAGAAAGTCATTTATTTAATTGCAACGAGGTTGATTTCATTAAACGTTTTCAAGCAGCAGTTTGTTGTGGTTTGACAGTAATCATGGGCCAATATATAAGTTTGATAAGAATTAACTAGAATCAAACCAATAGCGATGCAGTTTGTATTAAGACACGAAGTTCATTCCATTTCAATCAGTATCAGGAGAATCAGTACGTACTACTGCTGTTAAAATATCGGATTTGCTACCATCTATCACTTCTAGAAAAATTGAAAGTGCAGAAGCTTTTGGGGTATTTTAATCGATTAATAATGACAAAAGCTTAAATAAAACAGTTTTTCTTCAACTTTTGCTGGATTTGAAAACAAAATTCTGTCAAAGAGCCCGAAAAATTTATACAGCTCTTAATTTAGACATAGGATGAACAACATTAATCGCAAGTAAATGCAGAATCCTTAAGTGGGTGTGTCAAAATTATAGACTGTGTGTCGTATCTTTCTCAAAATTATTTCTCGCTTGCTGGTAATAAGTTGGGGCACCCAACGACGATTTCCTCCACAAAACATTTAAAATAGTTTTTAGGCTATCCAGAGTACTTTTAAGAATTACATTCTAAGTGGCGCTTTAAAATTTGTATCTGTTCGGTTATCCAAGGGCACTTGAGCCTTTTCGAAATTATAAGGGCTTCTTCAGCATTATTTTCCCGAAAATTTGTATAGGTAATAGCATGATTTGTAGTAATATTTGACATAAATACCACGAGTGATATTTCGAAATTGTTATTACGTAACTTCACGAGCCGTTAGGCGAGTGAAATTTGAGATAATTTTGAAATATCACGAGTCGTATGTATGCCAAAGACCACGTTCAAATCATGCTATTATTTGTTTATACTACTACCCACAAACGTTTTGTAATTTTCACATGTAGGACTGCCCTAAGCCAATCAAATTGCAGAAATTTCTCATGTAGTAGAGAGTAATTCAACGCCGGTATTACGAAAGTGATATTTTTTTTTGATCCCTCTTTCCATCACATTTTTGAATCCGAAAATTTTAGGCTTCCTTTCATTCTACGAAAAATAGCCCAACTTGGGGAGTAAAATGTGAAAAATTAAACTCAGAAAATCGTAGGGAGTTTTTTTAAGAGCCTTCCTCAAGTAAAAGAACATTTTAGGCAATATTTGTTTCTCCGAACAGATATTTTACAGAACAGTCGTTGGGTGCCCCTGAACTGAATATGGCAATTCCTTAAATGAAACTAATTTGTTTAGGAGCTAACACTATGCCAATCAATGTATCAGTGATTCTGTTTTACTTCTAATTCAGATATTCGCGGAGGGGTTTCAAGAAACAGGGGGAATGTGCATGTATGATCACTTAGTTTTATTTTCAGAATGACTGTTATCAAAATGCCTAGCTGAAAGTCGAATCGTTCCTGAGAAATAATGACATTTGTGTCAAAATCTTTTAACTCGAAGTAATCAGCGTTTTTGATCTATCAGTACAACCTCGCTAGCGTTACTCAGTAGAGAAGGGAAAAACACAAAAACAAATGCGCCTTTTGGGACACTGTATGTTACTCGGATATCAACCTGGTTTAAGTTCGCACGTTTGAAAGCAACGAACAATTTAAGGCCAAAAAAAGGCGAGTTTGAAGCAGACGGAAAGAACGTGTTGGACGATCCAAACTCATTCAGTGGAAGTTAACGGGTGAGCCAGACCCGGTCGAACTTTTCATGAACTTAACTCACCAAGTTTGGCCTACAATCTTGGACAGAATAAAATGAAATAGCAAACCCCCATCCCCCCCAAATCAAGGATGAAGCCCTCGCGAAGGGCAAAAAACGCGCCATTTTCCTATCCTTGATTTTGGGGGGGGGGGGGGGGGGGGGGGGGCCCGGTTTTCTCTTTTTTTTTCCCCAAGGTGTGTGGCCGGAAAAAACCTTGCGAATTTTTTTTCCCCCCCCCAAACATTTTTTTAAAAAAAAACGTAAAATTTTTTTGCAAATCCAATTCTGTGCAAAACTAGGAAACTTTACTCGTTCCTCCATTCAT